AGTTGTTAGGCAGATTTAAAATCAGGTTTTAATTATTTTAAATTTGGAAATTTAGTTTCGTCTATTTACGAAACTGCCAGTACCTTCTGTAGGCCATAAAATCTTCGTTTTAACTCTGATTTGATCCGTTCAAGTTGCGTTAGGTTCGTAATTAAGTAATATATATTATCATACTACTGTTAAGTATGTTTTTAACTTTTAAAATTTGAGGTTAGATTTTTTCTATTATTTTAATAAAGTAAATCTTGTTTAATTCATAACTTCTTCGTTTTAACTCCGAATTTTGTGATCTTCGCGTGTGTGTGATCTTAGCGAGACATAGATTCGTTTTACAAACTTTTCATCTTGATTTTATGCTGATTGGTATACTATTCTAATCTATAGCTTTTGTTTGCTATGCATGATTGCTTCTGTATGCTTGTATGTTGCTGTGATTATCGAGTATAGACGGTGAGCAGTTTGTGGGTAATCAAGAGTACTACTTTGATGAGCAGGATCAACAGGAGCACTTTGTTCAAGGCAAGTATAGCATAGGATTATCCTTGTTTCCTATCAACTTTAATACATTTAATTCATGTTGCATGTGTCACCTTGAGAGGGATTCCCTAGAATTGAACTTATACATTGTCTTCTATGGGATATGCATTGGGTATCTTTGCTAGTGCTAAATTAAACCATGATCTTGTAACTTGACTAATGGTATATGCAATAAACATTAAGACATGACTTTTTAGCAACTTGGAAACAGAGGCCTGGAGTGTTTAGCTACTTTATAAATGCTTCGAATTCCTCTTTCTAAGGACTTATCTATAAACAAACATCCGGACTTACAGTACAACTATGAGGGCTACATGGCTCTGGCTTTATCTCAGTATGATGACCTTTTCTAGCTTGTTAGAGGTTACCTTTATTGGCGTAAGAATAGCTTGCCGAATCGGGTATAGGACAACCTCTACTCTTATGTGTATAGCCGTGATGGAATTGAGCCATTCGACACGAAGGTTCCTATATCTGTTTGCCGAGTGAATCTAATGGCCCTAACTTGTTAGATGAACCTTTGAAAGGCTTCATAGTGAACCATGCCTTCTCACCTTAAAAGTGTTTTGAGAGTAATTAACCTGGGCATAAATGTATCACGACTCACAGTGAAAGTGTACAACCTCTACAGAGTGTAGAACTGGTATATCAGCCGTGCTCACGGTCACGAGCGGCCTTGGACCCTTATGGAATAGATGATCACTAAGAATTATCCGTTTATACTATTCATTATTTATGTTTTACATTGATCATGTGTTTTACTTTGGGATTGAAACAATTTGTTGCTACTCTTATGTTAAAATTATGACAACTAAAAGTTGAATGCTGTTAAACCTGTGTCAAGCCTTTTGAGCCTCATGAACCCCATGTTACACTTGTTGTGTACGACACGTACTTACGATTGTTTATTTTCTTTATTTGGATAAAAATCCTGGATGGGTAATAGATGGCTATGGTAATGACGATTTTTCTGAGGATTACTAGACTTGTGCTCAACCAGTTGACGTCCCTGTGATATGGAGCTTCCACGAGAGATTTATCTTTATACTTCCGCTATATTTATGTGAAGATTATGTCTTATGATTCGTGATGTAATAAATACTTGTGATGATACTATTTATAATTTATCGGCTTATGTATGCGACTGATCTCGGGACGCACATAAGATTATGCATCTCATTTTATCCTTAAATTCGGGTGTGACAGTTCCACTCATATCGACCCCAACACATGTTGATTGATGCAATTTTAAACAATCAATGATCAAGTGCGACTGCTGTTGGAGAAAGGCTAAAAGACACAATGGATTTCAAATCCAGTTGCTAACGTTGTTTGATTCACAAACTTTCAATTGTTGTTTGGGAGATTGATTATTTATTGAGTTGAAGTACGTGTGAGATAGAATAATGTTTAACCAGACAAGCAAGGATGAGTTTAGTCAACAACCCAGCATTATTACGACTTAGAGAGTGCATGAGCAAAGCTTAAGCAAACGCGCAGCATCCCAAACCTTTGGACGTGTGATTGTGTGAACAGCGTGCCCTCCAAAAAGCATCCGATTGGAGGCGGCACCCAGCTTTCTTCAACGCGAATGGTTAGATAAATGCATGCAGGTGATGTGACGCTGTTCTTCCAATTTTGTTAACTGAGTTGGGTTGGGGGTGACATGGATGACGCTTGATGGTGAGACCGCGAGGGCAGATCAAACATTCTGTAAGGCCCTCCACAGCGTGTGGCTAGCAATGGTTATTTTGGAGAGAGAAAAATTGGGAACCACTCCTCCCACCACGGCAATCGATTCTAACTTGTACCGGTGCAAGAAAAAACAAGGAGCGGGGCAAGAACTTGTGCCGCTCCCAACTGATCTCCAATTAATAGAAAACAATTTTGTTGGTACTTTTATGCTCACGTCGCTCCCAGCCGAGTACCAGTTGCTTCTGTGCAGACGCTACCCCCGGCGAAGACTGGGTCACAAGCAGCCCCCGATGCCCCGCTCAGTGGGCAGCAGACTCACCTCTATTGTTGCCTGAGCCAGGGTAGGCCCAGTGTTGGTATTCCCTGTTGCATGACAATTTTTTATGAGTTACTCTATATGTTTTTCCATCCTTACTTCATAGTTCTTCCTCTTGTGTTGCACTTCTATATGTATTTGACATGTATTTAGTTGAAATTTTAGCATGAGGTACTTCCTTAGTTGTGTAATATAGTACATTCTAGAGATTTTAGGACATATTATGAGAAAACTTAAAAGACGCATGTGCCCTCACTTTATTTCTTAATAAGAAGATATCATCAACAACATGATTAATGATGATTGATCCATAAATGGCAAATAACAATATAATACTACCAAAGTTATGCTACTATTTCATGCAAACTGTTTTCTGATCCCAAAAATTCATTATATATATTTGTGTATAAATTTTGAATACTTATATACATTGTATTACAGAATGGAGGGAGCATGGTGTTTAAGATAGAAATCTATATGTGTGTCTTTAAAGTATACTTTTTTTATATGTACACCCTGGGAGTGGAAAAAATTATTTTTATTATTTGTATATATATGTTATTTATATATCAAAGTAGAATGCAGAACTTTTGATAGGGGTTGTTTACATTAGATTATTTGTAGTGGTGGATAATTTAGACTTACATTATGTTTTTTTTAAATTATATCACACTATGGTTACTTCATATTATTTTTCATACGCCATAGGTGGAGAAAACTAGAGGTATTAAATTAAAAGGAGCATCTGATTAGTAGTAAATAGAAGCATACCCCGTACGTTGTTGCGGAAATTACGGATGATTTAAAATAAACTAAGACTATATATATTACTTATAGAAGGAATAGACTATTATTATAAATTAATGATAGTGGATTGCACGACATGTTGACATGGACAACAAAATGCTTGTGTGTCTTGCTAACGTGACATCACAATTGAATGTGCTAGTGGATTTGAATTATAGTGCATTACTGAGGTGGACAACTTGTATGCTAAGATACATCCCTAGTGGAGTTTAAGATTATTATAAAAGATATAAATATAGATAAATGTTAGGATGAAAATTGTTAAGCACAAGTGATACCTGATGGCGCAAATCGGGTGGCCAGTGAGAGCATCTCTAAAAGCCTTTCTAAATCTCACTTTCTAAATCATTATTTAGAGAGTCATTTGCATAAAAATCATTTTCTATATCTTTTCACTCTCCAATAGTTTTTCTATATCTCATGCGCACTTTAGAGAGTCATTTTCGTCTTCTATTTTTGGCTAGCAAAAAATCAAGAATAGAAGCTGACTATATTTGAATAACCATTTAGAAAAGCTATTGAAGGGTAATTTTTCATCAAAATCTCTATTCCTAACCTTTAGAAAAATATAGAGAGTCTCTTGAGTTACACTGACTACCCTGTTTTTTTGGATAGTTTTTATGCCTACGCAGCACTGGTTGGAAACTTTGTAGGCATCCTAGCAATTTCTAGCTCCGCCAATGGTTGGTGAACACTTGTTCCAAATTGGAAAAGGCAGGAGGCACTAAGAAGGTATTTTTACACTCAGTCGTATAGTAAAAAAAAGAGAAGGCTATACCACTCTATGGACAAGTCCAATTACATGGGCGGGAGGCCCTTTACAGCCTACAGGCCACAGCAGCGGGAGGCCCTTTTTGTGAGCCTCGGATGGAATCAGAGTCAGAGCACCATTATTATGGCAATAAGAAAGCATTTTTGGTACTAAATAACCAACCGAATAAAATTTACCATACTTATCGGAGATAATTCCTTATTTGACACTGAGAAAATGAATCGTTCCTTTCTTGGCCTTGAAATTTTTTTCGTTCCCTATTTGACACTCACTTCAACTTTCATCCCTAATTTGACACTACCATCAAATCTGTTAGCTAACGGTGTTAACAGGCTGTTAAAAAGATGTTTTTGCCCTTGGAAAAAAACCGGCGAAGCAAATTTGAGAGGAAAAAAACCTGCGCCCACCTTTGATGCATGCGCCTAGCTGAAAAAAAGACCAGCCAGCCAGCGATGCATGCATGCAACAGCGCCTCTGCATGCGTCTAGGGGCAAAAACGTCTTTTTAACAGCCAGTTAACACCGTTAGCTAACGGATTTAACGATAGTATCAAATTAGGGATGAAAGTTGAAGTGAATGTCAAATAGGTAACGAAAAAAAATTCAAGACCAAGAAAAGAACGACTCATTTTCCCAATACCAAATAAGAAATTCTCTCTGCTTACTGCCCCTGCCTTTCTGGCCCTATATAAGCGAGTAGAGCCCTGGATTGATCCCAGTGATCCTTTCTTGTGGCCGGAGCTTCTCTCTCCCATCGCGATCACCGCCACACGCCACACCCTCTCCGAACCTTTATATACACCAGCGGTGTCCTGTGACCTCCACACCACCCTTGGGGCGCCGTCCGGTGTGTGGCTGTGTGTTTGCATCCACCATGCCTTCGCTGCTCGACTCGCCGTCGCCGCCACAGATCCCGGCCGCCGGCGCCTGGGGCTCGCTGTACTACGCTGTCCAAGAACCCGTGAAACCTCGTCACGTGACGACCGTCGTCCCCGCGGCTGCAGTTGCCAAGAAGCCGGCGTACGGCGGCGGCAGGAAGAAGAACCTGGAGACGTGCACCGAGGAGCTCGGGTGCGAGACCGGCGCCGTCGACGCCGCGCCGGCCTGTAACGGCGCCGACGACAAGGGCGACGGTGGTGAAGTGGAGGAGGCTGAGTGCGCGGAGAGGAAGCGGCGCGCCCGGGAGGAGGAGATGGAGATGGAGGGGAGGGCACGCCAGTCGTCGGCGCGCCGGCCTCTGCCCCCGCCGCTGACGACGCTTGCGCGCGGCGCCAGCCGCGTGCGGATGGTTCACGAGCGGCGCGACGGCCGACTGGCCGTGTACGCGTCACGCACGCCCGGGGTGGAGGCCGAGCGGAGCGGCGGCCGCCTTCGCATGCGCCTCATCTCCCTCCCCAGCGCCAGCGGCTCCACCGCTTGCCGCCGACAAGAACCACGAGATGCAGAGGCGAAGGAGGAGGTGGTAGAGGCCAAGGTTGAGGAAGAGGAGTGCCACTACCAGATGTACGTGCGCGGCGGCCGTTGTGTCGAGGCGGAAGGTGCTGCGGCCGCGGCGAGGCGGCAAGCAGTGGGAGCCGGAGCAGGCTGCCGCGTTCTGGGTCGCCACCTCCTGAACAGAACCAATGATGGATTAGTCGTGCCCTACTGATTAAATTTCTTAGCGATTATTACTGAAAAAGGATTGCCGATCCATCTCTCTTTAGGAGATGGTGTTGATCAGGTCATGCAATGAGTCCTTTTCTGTTTTTGATTTTGATTTATAGCCTGTGCCATCGATCTCTTGGTTATTGCCACCTTGGTTGATCAAAGAACTGTGTGTGACGGATTGCTGGTGATTGAGATGGCACACGTTGTATGTACCATGGATGTAGTGCCTACAAGTAATTTGATTTTGCTTGGCCTTGCTTTATCTGTGACTTTCTCCATGCTGACAATGTGATCATCAGCCATTATACAAGTGTTCACTACTTCTACTTGTATCGTTGTCCTTTTTACCGATGGATGGAAACAAAGATTTTATCACTTGTTCGAGCTTCCAATGCTATACAATTTGCGCCACTGGCCACCGTAGACAAAACGTCAAGCCTGCCGGTCTAAGCCGAGGTAGCAGGGACTCTTATTGTGCGCTCACTTGTTAAGAAAGGTATTCATGGGACAAAAGGAAGCTATGCAAGAGTTGACGATTAATTAAAGGCACCAAAAAAAAAAAGGAAGCTATGCAAGAAAACTTATTAAGCTGGAAGAGACCAGTCAAAAACTGTGCATTGGGAACTTGGTGCCGTGCACGAGCGCTAAATAAAGATTGGGACTTGCTAAAATTCATGTATCTGAATTTTAGCTTTCTTTTATAGACGGTTATTGCATATATTTTTATACTAAAATTGCAGGTTTAGTTTGTTGCAATGTATGTAAGCATAATTTGTAATTTTCGGTTTCAAAAACCACAAACCCGACAAAATCTTATTTGGGTTGGCACAAAGACAATTACAATTTACAATTATTTCTATAGTCAGACATAGATAAAAATTTACTTGTACGTACTACGGAGTAGCTGGTTGCACAAGAGTGTTGTATGAAACAACCTTAAAATTCAGGCATTTAAGTATAAGAGAAGTGATAAAGATTTTGTGAGCAAGCTAGTAACCTTGTTATCGTGCTCAAATTAGGAAATTCTTTTGAATAGATTACTTTCATATTTGTTTTTTTATTTTTATTCCAAGAATTAGCAAACAGTAGTCCTTCGATGCTATTCTAAACAAAAGCATGCATTGTTGTAAAAAAAAGCATGCAGAACCCAGCGCTACAATTTGCAGCCATAAGACTGGCCACAGCGTTGCCGGTGCTGAAAAATCATCTCCGTACGACAGCTCATATCGATGCTAGAAACCACAAATGGATACAGTGCGAGCATCGATGCTTTACTGTATATGGGACCCAAGTGTTCAGAGTTGTCAGCGTGCTGCTCAGTGTGTGGAAGAGGAAGAGTGTGCTGGTTGAAACGAACGGCCGGTGCAAAAATATTTTTTTATCTTCTCAGCATCGAGGAACCAACATGACCCGATGCCAAGATTTTTTGAAACTGGCCACCGGCCACAGCGTTAAGCACCGGTGCTTGAACGCTCTCTCTCCTTCCTTGGCACCGGCAAAAGCCTACATTGTGGCCAGTCTAACATTTTGAACTGTTGCAGTTAATCTGTTGGACAAGATAGATGCAGTATAGTGACGGCCAAATGAGAATCTTTGATTGTGGCCACGAATGTGATCTCGCTGTTGCCATATGGGGCCTTGAGGGCTGGTATATGTGTGGACAAAATATGAGGATCAAGAGCCTGGCCTAACTATCGTGACCCATGAAAAACCACTGTCCAACGCTAATACGAGGTGACCCAACTGGGGGGCCTGTTCGGCAGGACTGAAAAATACTATTTCGACTGATTGTTATGAGAAAAAAATACTATTATAATATGACGTAAACAGTGATTCTATGGCTTGCCAGCCGGCAACCAGCCAGCCAGCCAGCCGAACACAGCCCTGATGTGTATCCTAGGCATGTCGATAAACATGGACAGCGGCCAAAGCACAGAAAAAAAAAACCACACCGGAGATGGGAATAGTCAACCTTCTGGTACTGGTTCGCTGGTTTAACGAGCGAGTTACCTGTCGAATGAGTTGTTTTCATCAATTTATTAATTTGTATTAAAATGAAAATATGTAATTTTTCTATGACATACTGTACCAAATGAGAACTGTCCAAATATATCACATATAATATAACACATGAGGGCATGGCACCAGACGCTACCCTATTTGGACGCCCGCGCTTGCCCCGCCGCGCTGTCCATCTTGACTGCTGCGCCTCACCTCCTCCTGTATGCCCGCCCCAGCGTCGAGCACCGACCTGCATGCCCTGCTCCCTCAGTCTCTCACATGTGCTAGCGGCGCCCCCTCTACTAGATGCAGTTGTAGGAGTGGCGTCAATTTTTCCTCCGCATGCACGTCTCCCACGCGAATGCGCTCCACTCATGAAGAAATGGAACGACGCCTGCCCCGCCTGTAACTATTGCGCTTGCACACCCGCCCCCACATGTCGCATGCAGCCTGCACGCCGTGCACGTACGCGGATGTAGCTGCACACTACATGTCTGTTGATGCTCATGCAGGTGGGGACCGCGTCACATGCCTGCTGATGCATGACACGCCCACTTCGCTTGCCGCGCACATGGGGACCACTACGCCCGCGAAGACCACATCTACATGCGTCCGCTTCCTACTCCTGCTAATGTTGCAACATGAAAGCACTTCTACAACATATGTCTGAAATAGGTGAAACATTTATAAACATACGTTTGCAACACATGTGTATAGCAACTACAACATCCAAATAAACAGACTTGTAACATACGTTTGAAACAGATGAAACATTTTGAAAGACGCTTGCAATATATGTCTGAAACATATGCAACATCCAGATGAAACACCTGTAACATAGGTCTAAAACAGGTGAAACATTTGGAATGTACACTTGCAACATACATATATAGCCACTACAACATATGCATATATCCAGATAAAACACTTGCAACATACGTTTGAAATAGCTGAAACATTTAAAACATACACTTGCAACATATACAACACTAGATCTACTTTTGCAACATCCAGATGAAACATATGCAACATACATCTGAAACGCATGAAACATACGGTTGCAACATGTGCTCACCTTAGTCACCTACTTGCTGCCGCACAATGGACTCTAGTTGATGCGGCGCGGGTGGCGCCCGACGCGAGGCACGAGTGGGGCGCAAGGCGCGGACGGCGTGAAGCATGGGCCAAGTGTGCGGCACGAGGCGCGGGGCGCACGCGGCGTGAGGCAGCTCCGATGCAACCGTGCGAGGCGTGGGGCGGGAAGCGCAGTGGCATGCGGCGCGAGACGAGTCTGTCCCGTCCGGACAAACAGAGGTCCTGATAGGAGCGTTAGTGTTTTTTTTTGCGGGGTAACATAGCACATAACACATGAGCTAATACGGCTAATACGGTAGTACTGCTATAGTCCATTGTCCAAAGTTTCGAACTAGCATCCAAACATTAAAATGGATCACTGCATAGCCACAAAACCACCTAATTCTAACTGTTCATGGCAGCTCATTTTTATGGCTAATAATCTTTAAGCTAAATCGAACCAATAAGGCTACATGTTCCTGGCTCTTTTTTGTTTCAATCGGCGATCAGTCTGGTTTTGTATATATTGTATGGTCCAGACACCATTTCCAGCAAAAGCAACAGGTCAGACAAGAAAATCTTTATGCGCTTGCTGACTAGCCTGTTGCCTTTTTGTCGATCTTGGTTGGTTCTTTCATGCTTAGGGCGACTTGAGAAAAAGAATGAGATGCTACTGGTGTGGTACCGTATCAACTCAGAATAGGGAGCACTATAATTTTGTGCTTAGAATACGGACCATGAACAAACCTGATGAACTTGCGCAGGAGCCACGAGATAGAGGCACCGTCACAGTCTGGCGAGCACAACGGGCTGGCACAAGGCGAAAGACATGCGGTTCCCGCGTCACGTCGTTGGAATTCTTCCCAAGCCAAGACTTTTGCGCGCGATCGGCTGGTTCTTCCCTGTCCCCTGTGCCACTCGATCCCTCCCCGCCGTCCCCGGCCGGTTTCTGCTCGGGTGGGGCGGGATCTCACGGCGATCTCGTGCCTGCTCCGCTGTCCACTCCGCAAGACAAGGCACGGTCCGGCGCGGGGGCCGGAGAGGAGCGCGACTGCGCCACGCCAGCAGGCAGCAGGGAAAAGCGAGAGAACTTTATATTTGATGACACCAATAACAGCCATTGGATACAAGAACTTTATACAAATTTTAGGAAGCGGTTCGGTTCGGTTTCCATAGGAGTCACGAAATGTTTGTAATGTTGCCTTAATTCTTGTGCTCTGGTAAGGACTTCCACAACGGCAGCATAATACTAACTAGGAGCATGGCTCAGGATCATCTGTTTTTGCTCATTATCCAGAAACCGGACGGGTTGGTGTTCTCGATCAGCTGCAATGCTGTGCCTTGAACTCAAGGCCGCTATGCTGGACGGAAGGAGTGTTCCCAGAAGAGGCCAACATTTATTTACTTACATGAGTGGAACGGCTTGTCCAGTAACGCTACTGGGCTAATGCAGTGTAAAGAAAAATTTTACTTGGTTGGAGCATCTGTACATAATATCAGTATAACCCTTGCTTGTTTTGTAACAGTACTGTCATCACTCATCAGACATCAGGTTGTTTATTACTCCTAGCTGGGTGATTTGCAGAACGAGTACAATGTGGGCTTTGGCAAAGTCATTTTTAATATAGGGTTTAAAGCACTGGCTGTGTCTTCATAGATCTGAATTTAAATGTACATTATCTTTTTAGGTACTTTCTAATGAGATTGACTGTGTTTTTTCATCTAAAATCTAAATATTTGGTTTATCAGCTATGTGAGGAGACAGAATTCAGTTTGTGATTGTTTTTCATTGGGCTCTACAACCTGTACCGTCTCTTTAGATTCAGGAATCTGCTATTTTTCAATTATCTAGGACAACAACTTCCTAGCTTGCAATCTCTTGTACAAATAGTAGTAGCTAGATTGTTATGACACAGTCAGAGGAATATTGAACAGAAACAAACGTGACTGTTTTCAATTATCTAGGGATGATCCATTTTATCATATGCAAATTAAATAATTTCCAAAGGTAAAGGATCTCACATACTAGTCTTGTGTCACATGGAAACAAGATGTACAAGTGATGAACTGGAGGTAAGTAGTACCTGTTTTTTATGGGTATTACCTTCTCGTTCTTCATCTTTGATCAGTCCTCCCTCTCTGAATCGGTTTCCCGTTCCCCTTTGTCTCCATTTTCCCTCTCCGTGCTTTTCCGATCTGCCAAGTGATAGATCTACGATAATAATACTGTGCGATCGTCCATCCTGCACAGATTCGACATAGCGCACGACTCCTTATCCTATCCATCCTGCACAGATAATAATATTTTTTTTCGGAATTAAATGAAAATAATTTTTATATGAAAATTATAGATCTCGACGAGATCTACAACTTTCTAGTTTTGAGTTTTTTCATTTGAAGTCGTTAAGATGCTCAAAAAAAATTAATAACATATTTGAACTTGAGGACATTTTCGTCTTTTCACACCTGCAGTTTGACGGTGTTAGAGTCTGATCTGACGGAAGTGGCATGGAAGACCCAAAAAAGTTATAGTAGTGATGCTGAAGACCGCTGAATTTTTCCAGAGGCACACAGAGGATTACGATCTTTTATAATGACATTCATGAAAAGTCTCATGTTACTTCCCATTTTTGGTTCCCTCCCTTCTCCCAAGCGCTCTTCAGCCCCACCCACCCCCTTCTGCGGTTCTGCCCTCGGCGCCGCGCCCATGAGCCTCACCGAGTCGCCGTCGCCGTCGCCGTCTCCGTCGTCGTCGAGCGGGAGCGACGACTTCGCGGCCCTCCTCGCCTCCGAGCTCGAGCTCGCCTCCGGTGCTGACTCCGCCTTCCCTAGCGATCCCTCCTCCGCTTTCCCCGCCACCGACGACGAGGGCGAGGACGAGGATGAGGATGATGATTCGGAGGAGCTAGAGGTTGAAGCCATAGAATAAAACGGGTACGCGCCGCCTTCCTGCTCCTCCCTCCTCTTAATTCACCGCTAGATAGACGACTCCATGGGTTTGGCGGCTTCGGCCGCGCGATTAAAACCTTGAATTCCACGCGCATTTAGAGGCGCGTTTAGAGTTGGATGATCGGCCTTGCTGCTGGATTAGGGATAAGCAGATTTGCCCTGATTCGAGCTTATTAGGGTTTCGTGCTTCATCATCGGGTAAAACATATGCTTCAGGGTTTTTGCTTGCCTTTTACATGCCTCGTGGTTTATTGGACAATGTGGATCCTCACTGCAGCAGTTGTGATTCAAGGATTTTAACCCCCCTCTCCCCTCCTAGAATTTACTGAAGTTCCTACTGCTCCTGTACTGAGCGCACTTGATCATATTGACTAGTGAATCGATTGTTCTGTTATGTGAAATGCCAAATCTGAAATTCGTAGAACCAATGGATTTGATAGCACTTCTCTAATCTTCAATCCCCATTTATAGAGTACCGTGAAGGCATCCATTCTCTTGTGTTATGCAAGTTTGATGTCTATCATGTTTTCATCTCCATCTTATGGACACAGGCTGAAATTAGGACAAGACATGCGAGCATGTGCTGTAGATCCTCTCTGTTGTGGTAAATGAATAAATGATAGAATTCTTGCACTCATGTCTGTCATGTTTTCATATTCAGCTTATGGATACAGGCTGAAATTAGGACAAGACATGTGAGCATGTGCCGTAGCTTATCCTCTCTGTTGTGGTAAATGATAAAATTCTTGCACTCTGTTACTGCAAGGCCTATTTAACCTTCTATTTCAGATGAAAAGAAAAGGAAAATGACAATCCTAGTGAGAAATGTGAATCCTAGTCAATTAGAATCCAAAGCAAACAAACTTTCCAGTGTTCCTAGCTACGTCTGTTCTTTTGATTCTTTTCCTTTAAGAAGTGTGTACCCTGCTTGATTTATTTATTTGGCTTATGTAAACTTGTGTTCCCTCATAGACCCCTTCCCTTGCCTTTGATTTTTGGGCCTAGTAGTTGTAAATTTGGCTTGTACTAGGGTAGTAAGGCACCTGCTATGGATTGAGGTTTGTTCAATATAATTGAAATCCTAGTCCATCCCTTCTAATCCAAGGAGGGAGGGAGAGTCATTGCATCCTAGTCAGTTTTCTAAGTTAGGTGGATTACTGGTGTTGCCTAGTGACTAGGCAGGCTCGGTGGCTGCCCCTGTTTTGTGCTTGATTTTCTGGTGTTCAATATCTTTCCAAAAAGTTGTTAGATCATTGATTCACATGAAATGAAATTCAAATTTCTGATTCTAAAATCAAATGCGATATCAATAGAATTGCAAGTCAGCAATTATGATATCATGGAGGTATTGATAGTATCAAAAAGCGCACATCTGTAAAAATGCTGCATCAGATGTTATATCAAGTGTGTTGTCTTTCCATGCTGGGTAGTAAGAGTTTTCAATTATCATTGAGGATAATGATGTGGAGAGCACTCTAGTTTTCGGAGAAAACGAAGGGACAAAGTTCATTGGATGAAGTTGTGTTAAGAAAGAACTAATCATTACTTGTTTTGTAGATTTTGTACTATGAATCTGACTGCTGTCGACTGCATGCAAAATGCAGTACCAAAAGGCGTAGAGTGGAGGAACAACGCCAAGATCAAGGAACATCAGTTAGGCCTGACAAAATTCCCACTGGTGTGCTTCTTAGTTGCACTTTGCAAATCTGTTAGTGACATTTTGCAACCTAAGGGGACATGATGATGCATTTACTTTAAAATTCAAATGTGGTGTTCTAAACTATATTTTTCTGCATTGTGTTGCATGGTTGACTCTCTATCCTTGCTCATAGGATGCACTAATTGTAAAAATGGTTGCCCTTTCACATTTTTGTTCAGAGTTGTAGAATATAAACCACTTTTTTTTTTGCGAATTACACCAGTACAGACGCAGACGCTCAACACGCACGCACACTCACCCCTATGACCACACGCACGCAAACGCTACCCCTATGAGCACCTCCGAAAGACTGTGCCAGCACATCTCGAGATTGACGAAGTCACCACAGGTGCCTCGCTGTCGATGGGAATGTCGCCTACCACTGAAAGCACAACGCCGTTAAATCCTGGAATAAATCCAGAAAAATGCGAACACCCATGCCAAAGTCGAGGACTTAAACCCGGGTGGGTAGGTTCCACCACAAGGAACCTAACCAACTGAGCTAGGCTTAGTTCGCAGAATATAAACCACTTTCTGTCATTTATATTTCTGAATTTGATCACAACAAATTATCCAGCTGTCGGTGGCTATTATATATATTTTAGAATATCCCTAAAATTTTGTGTAACTTTGTTTCTTTCTTCTGTGGCAATTGGCTTGGGCTTAGTTCATCATATATTGAGCATTGAGTGTCCAATTGTCCATGTGTGACAGATGGCATGTTAAATTATTGAGAATACATTTTTTTCAGGTGCATCTAAAAATGTTCAGGTCGGGGCATGTCCACATCTTGGATATATAAATGGACTTTGCTATACATGTGGCAATCCACAAGACGAGGAAGATGTTTCAGGAGTTGCTTTAGATTACATCCACAAGGTACTCTCAAACCAAATAAAACAAATAATTTTAGGATTATTTAACATAGATGTGGTGTTCCCCTATGGCGCCTCGCTCATATAACACACATAACTGCAAATTTGTGGGCGCTGTATTGTCATTTAATTTTTCATTTCCAGTTGCACTTGCACATTGCCTTGTCTCTAAGCAGTTTTACAAATTTAGGAGGGTTATTAAAATGCAGGGCTTGAGGCTAGGTACCTCAGAAATTGACAGACTACGTTGTGCTGATTTGAAGAATCTGTTGCGTGAAAGAAAATTAGTACTCATTTTGGACTTGGATCACACACTGATCAACTCAACCAAACTCCAAAATATTTCTTCTGCTGAAAAAGATTTGGGTATTCAGACTGCTGGTTCAAAAGGTAATATTATATAATTGTATTTTAAGTTTTGAGAACTTGTAGTCATCTTTTGTTGAAGTTATATTTTGCTACCATGAGCATAAGGTACCACCTCTGATTGCAACTCTATAGATGCTATTATGTTGTCATGATATATTTTGTCAACTTTCGATTTTTACACGATTTTATTTGAAAGTATTAGAGGTCCCAGGAAAATGACATGACTAACATTTTCTCTTCTAAGTCTACTACATCATAAAATTTCTATTTGTTTACAGAATTATGTTTGAAAATGGAGTACTGGGTACTGGCCAATTTTGCTAGACAATGGAAATAAAAAGATGGCATGTATGTTTGAATGTGGACTGGAATGCATACAGTTTACTGAGCGAAGGGCAGAGCCAATATGTTTGTATAAGCAGCTAGCATTTCACGATAGAAAATAGAAGTTGAATGCCACTGCTCATGGCATGTTTATATGCTTTAGTCTCTTCCTGCATAATGTGGTTTTAGTTACAGATTGAAATTATTAAGAACTTTTAGACCCTCTACTCCCTCTATCATTCGTTCTCAGACAAACATTTTTATGGCTCAGTGCAGTTAGCATCAGTTGGTATTACCCATAAGTGAACTTTATAAGTCTTTTCTAACTTTTATCCAGAGTAATTTTTTAGGGTTATTAAGCAGAGTAATAATGATTAACAACTTTTATATAATTACAACTGATTATTTCCTTGCAGTTGTCTATATTTCATGTCCTTTGACCATTGTTGAAACTGTTGTTGCTTATCCACGAATGTATATAACATAGCAAGTGAACCCCTCATTTTCTAAATGCAGATGATCCAAACGGAAGCATCTTTGCACTAGAATCAATGCAGTTGCTCACAAAGTTGAGACCATTTGTCCGAGAATTTCTCAAAGAAGCAAGCAATATGTTTGAGATGTATATATACACCATGGGTGACAAAGCTTATGCCATTGAAATTGCTAAGCTTCTTGACCCTAGTAACATCTATTTCCCTTTAAAAGTGATTTCAAACTCAGATTGCACTCAGCAGCACCAGAAAGGTCTTGATGTGATTCTTGGAGCTGAAAGTGTTGCAGTGATTCTTGATGACACTGAGTTTGTAAGTGTTATTGTTAAATGACTGTTTTCAGAAGTATGTGCCTTTTCTATCCAATAGGGTAAGCTGATTCAGAACAATTTTATTTTATGCAACCAAAAGTCACATTATTTGACATGAATTCATTGACCAAGCTAGGTCTTAATGTCTCATTATAGAATACTCTGGTCACTTGTGTTGTAAGTGTTCCTGGTCAGTAACTGCTCTTTGTCTCCGGTTTGCTTCCAACATACAGATTTAAAAATAGAAACATCTATCCTCAATTATCAAAGCATAATGATTATCCTCAATGTGTAGAAGCTGGTAGGACCCTGTTATTTGTGCTTAGAGTGATCAAAATTTCTATTTTCTATTGTCATTTGTCATTCATGGCTGGCCAGCCTGAAAATGGAATTTTGTTTCAGGTATGGAAGAAGCATAAAGAGAACCTGATTCTGATGGAGAGATCATTTCTTTGCTTCAAGCTGCCGTGGATTTGGTTTTGGTGTTAGGTCTTTGTCAGAATCGATGCAAGATGAAAGGGAGAGTGATGGTGCTTTGGCTACCGTTTTAGATGTCATGAAGCGCATACACACGATTTTCTTTGACATGGTTGGTTTCTTCAGTTCAAAGTTTTATCACATTTTATCACTCTGTTTCTTTCTACCGTCTATTCCTCAGTGGATCGGAATCTTGTAAGAACAAAATTTGTTCATTTCTAACCATTTGTCCTTGTACCTCTCTTATGTAAGCTGTTGAAACTGATCTTTCTTCACGGGATGTAAGATAGGTAGGCTTTGCATATACCCTTCATGCTGCCTTTTATGCTTTAAGAATTATTTATGTTTTTTCTGAAGAGTAGATGAGTTGTGTTTATCAATTTTAATATAACTGAACTATAGCTTGCTTAATACATCTTCTACGTGGCACGGCTTATAGATTTCATTTGTAATTGGCTGTTTCTTGTGTTTGTATGCCCACTATACAGGTGATCAAGGCGGTACGGAAGGAAATACTGCAAGGTTGCAAAATAGTCTTCAGTCGGGTGTTCCCAAACAATACACGCCCACAGGAGCAGATGATCTGGAAGATGGCCGAGTATCTGGGTGCCGTTTGCTCTACAGATGTGGATTCCAGTGTCACCCATGTTGCAACTGTGGATCTAGGAACAGAGAAGGCCCGCTGGGGTGTTGACAACAAGAAGTTCTTGGTCCACCCACGCTGGATTGAAGCAGCAAATTTCCGGTGGCATAGGCAACCGGAGGAAGATTTTCCTGTCACTCCCCCGAAGGAAAAGAGCAGAGAGAAAGATAATGCTGTGGCTGGCAAGAAGAAAACGAGCAAGGATAAGGAGAATGCTGCAGCTGGCCAGATGGAAACGAGGAAGGACAAAGAAGAAAATGCTGTGGCTAGCCAGAAGGAAACGGGGAACGATGAAGGAAATGTAGCCGGTCAGGAGAAAGATGATGCCAAAGAAAACGTTGTGGCCACATCTACAACAGGCCCTGCTGACTCGTAATCTATGTTGGGCTCCAAAGGTATCTGACACATAGTGTAGGCGTGCAGCTTTTGCTATCCGTTCGTGCAGGCCCAGGACGTTAGATCTGGTCCATTGCAAATTTTGGTGCTGACCTAAAGCTGATTGGGCCTCCGGCCATATTACTTACGCTACGTTGAAACTAGGAGTTTAAGCAAATTGATGTGGTAATTCTAGGTGACTCTACGCGACTGTGTGCGCAGATGGACTTTTAGCTTGTATACCTGCTTCTGTAGCTACTGCCCCCTGATTGAACTACAGTGAACATTAGTGGTCGCTAGTGGAACTACGGATTCTTTAATTCAACTGAAAATGGTCCACGTGAATTAATTCTTGTGCACTCGAAAAGGTACTCCCGCTATCTAAAATAGAAGTCTTTCTCGCTTTCGAGAAGTCGGTTTTTTTAAATTTTAATCAATTATATATAAAAAATATTAATATTTATAATACATAATTAGTATCATTAGATGGATGTTGTTGAATATACTATTATAATAAATTTATTTAGAGATATAAATGTTGAACGTATTTTCTATAAATTTAATTAAAGTTCAGAAAAATTTAACCTGCATACATCTCATAGCGTCATCTATTCTGGCACGGAGTGACTAGGTGTAGGCCGCTATGATGTTGCCATACATTGAGTAGGACGTGATATGTTATCCGATGGAGTCGTAGGTCTTTTCGTTACAGTGATGATGATGATGAATGGATGATGACAAGAATAAATTCCGGCATTTCGTTTGTCGTCAAAGGAGCAGGAAAGAATCTCTTCTGCTTTTCCCGTGATTTTCGTGTGATTGTGACGTCAAACCTGCATTATCCGGAACTCTTTTCATGACCTGGTGTCCCATAATTGAAGCCTACACCCTAGTTGAAGGGCCTAGATAATTTTGCTTCCATGAGAGAGCAGTGCCAATTTTTTTTTTTGAAATTTCATACAAAATTGACCAACTATGCAGGGATCAGAAGAATTTGAGCACTTGAATGGGCAGCTGCAGATAAAACTGAGGGCTTATAAACGATAGCAGCAACACGATATTGGTTCAGTGGTTCCATTTTCTACCGATAGACGCCCGGTCTGAACTGTAATCACCCACACCACAGCAAACGGTGACACAACTCTGGTCCCTGATTGACCGACGGCAGATTGTTTTCTGGCTGTTCCGTGCAGAAAAACAAAGCGGTCAAAAATCAGTCCGTTCGTTTCGGTTGAAACGATCGTGGATTATTACTACTAACTGGCTTGGTGTGAGAGAAAAATACTAGGCTGAATAACGGGAGCCACATGCACAACGGCAGTCCAACAAATCCGAGTCGTCGTCCTCCGCAATGGCCTTTTTCTTGGACAGGAAAGGTCAAAATGATTGCACATGGGCGATGATGGGTTTGGATCTCCAGTCCAGTCTTGGTGCGTGCCGGTGCTAGTGCCATCCATCAGGCTCCGGCAGCTGCCGAGTCTCGTCGGGCCGACCGACGGACCCCAGCCCTGCCTGCCCTTGCCTTGCGGTTGCCTCCGAGTTCCGCCTGACGCCCCTCCCGCCGCGTGCGCGCCGCACACATGCATGCATATGTCATGTGCCCGCCCGGGCCGGCCGGCACATGCGGCTGCCTGCGGAGCATCTTGGTTCTTGGTACCCGGGTTCGTCCCTGGGGGTTCAGAAGCTCGCCTTGCGGACCGTTCGGAGCGACCAAGCGGCCGGGCGGCGAATTTTAGCTGATGTCTACACGTCACCCGGCTCTCCTTTTTATTGTCTTCCGAGCTTGCCGGGCTGGGCATATATGACCATCACCATGACCGGGAAGTTGGGGAGTTAACGATGAGTGATCTAGGGAGGGGAATGCCGCGCCAGGATCATAAGCAAGCAAACGATGGGTGGTGGTCGGCGTTGCCTTGGATCCTTCGACGACCATGCATGCACTCTGCACGGTGACACATGGAGGCGGGAGATCAAAAGCATCACATTGCGCACCGGTCGCGTACTCGCGTATGTATGGGTACAAGCATGGTATTGGCGGCACATGCGAGCTCGAGTCGGCAAACAACCTTGGCGCTCAGTCATGAGTAACCTGTTTTGTTTTTTGTTTCCAATCTTGTTTTCTAGACCGAATATCGAACCTGCGTCGGTATCAGCTGCGATTTCTTTTTAACATTTTTTAAAACTATTTCCAAATTTGACACTGTGTTTTCTTATTTTTAAATCTAACACTTTTGGTCGCGTCTATTGCCGTGGCGCGGCCAAACCACTCTGCCGCGCCATGCATGGCGGCGTGGCAGAGCTGATGACGTGGCAGCGAACGGGCCACTGATTGGTGACGTGGCCTGCTCTGCCGCACCGCAGATCTTGGCGCGGCAGTGCCGTGCCATCGCGCACGGCGCGACAGGACTGACTTAATGTTGCGTTGCGAGCCTCCCTCCTTCTCTCTGCCTTACTTCGAACAGAGGTGGAGGGCGCCCGTGCCGCCCCCTCCCGCCTCTCCCAAGGTCTGTCGCCGCCCAGCCCTCCCTGCCCGCCTCCCTTCTTCCCATTCCCAAGCTTCTCCTCGGCCTCGGCCACGGTAATGATGCTCTTATTTGTCATTTGAATGGCGGATTCAAAGATTATGAATGGTAGCTAAGGTTTGGAGGATAAGTATATTTGCGAACTATGGGCTAGGGTTTGTAGGAAAATATCTGTTCGATTTTGTCAACGTTAAGGTTAATTAGTTAGTTAGAAGCATGTTAGCATGTTTAGTGTAAGGCATATTTTTGTTCCTATAAGTGTCGGTTATATTATTTAGTTGTAATGCAAATGGTTCTCCTTTACATTAATTTGCGATGTTTTGATTGATGTTAAATTACAACCGTTTTAATAGATGCAAGACATGTATCGGGAGTAGTTGTGGCGAAAACGTGGTCGTCCTAGAGAATTGTACCCCGATGCGTCTAGCAAAGATGCCCCCGTCCCTCCTGACCTCCATGTCCCTAACTGTGACTGTGGTCATCCGGCCGACGTGTTTCAATTGAGACATCTAGACACAGCAGCGCGTTGCTTCTACACATGCAGTCATTTTAATATAAGTAATTCGTTTGTTATCTTTTTTTTCTTCATTTGTGTTAGTAGGTTACTAATATTTTGTCGGAATCTTGTTGTGTAGGACCACATGAGAGGTGCTTTTTCTTTTAATGGATCGACGGTTCAGACAAGTTTGACCCAAGCTACCTCCTTTTCGACGATTGGTGTAGAGGGAGACATCCACGTGAGCACTTCGAGCGGTGGGTTCCGTCTGCGCGAACGACCAGAACACACGATGCATGACATGCCTCAACGGGTCCTCGAAATACATCTCTCCAGTATCTATAAACCATTTCAAGCGAGGGTTGTAGTAATGCATTGCACATAATATTCAGAAAATCCTGTTGTACGCTTCCTCCCAGCTACCTCAACGAATCGTCAGGGCAATTTACTTAGCACGCCAAGCCTTTCCGTACTCCACATCATACTTAACGAATCCGGATATGGACTGTTGTAAGGAAGACACCGAAAATGTGGTTATTGTCATCAACGAGCCCCAATATATGATGGACAAGGTAACGTGCAGTGAGCTGCTAATGATTTTCCTTCCCCTTATTTGATAGGCAAGTGTGGGGTTGGGCCACTTTACTTATCCTCCACTTGCCATCACTCTGTCTCTTTCGTGCATTTAACCTCCACATACAACCATTTTTGTATATCACGTGGTACATCAACTCCTGGTCCGAATGAGTGACGGTGTATGACCTATGGTGATAGATAGCAGTCCTGAAGGAACAACTTTATCTCTGATATTGTATTGAATATCATCCCCTTACTAAAGATTTCATTCTCATGGTCATATAAAGATTTCCTACACATCTGCAGACCGGTGTCACAAACTGTCATATCCGTCATGCTGACATCCCTATAGTTCGGAACGCCACTGAAAGGTACGTTCATCGACCTCAATTGCATAAGCTCTATCGCTGTGTAAGGTGATGTGGAACGTACCGCTGTGCTTCGCTAATTCTAGCCTATGAATCATAGGGGGTATCACCCTCTGGCAAATCTATGACTAATCTACCCTGAGCTGGCATAGCATGAAGTACCTCAGTTGGTACTGGTAATGGCATAGCATGAACCAGTACTGGCATGGCATCAACCGGTGTTGGCATAACTCTCTACCTTCTTGGTCATCATCCGAATCGTCTGAATCACTGCTAACTACATCATCGATCCTGTCCTCATCCTCCTGCTCCTCCTCTTCTCGTTCGAACTCGTTCACATCAAAGTCATTACTTATACAACCTACTAGAGTTGAATGAAGCTGCTCCTGCGTCAATTAACCATCCAAATCCATGTTACCCGGAGTCGCTTTCCCTTCGACCCCTAATTCTTGTTCATTGCCTCCAACACCGTCAATGGACGGCCTGTCCTGGAGACCCTGCATCCTGTACCCATTCTCCACCACCACCTCAGCCATAGGCACATTAGAACCTTGGATCACCTTATTGTAGCAGGACCAGTGAGCACGGTTGCGCAAGGGCATCAGGACATAGTGTGCCCTAGTCTTTCCACTATCAAACCTCCCCTTCAGTATGAAATCATCGCCAAACTTTGCATTCAAATGGACACAAAGGTTGTTGAAGCTAGGAGGTTCATCAAACCATTCCAATTCTTCTTCCATATCCTCAAACATAACATCTTCTTTCCTAACACTTCCTCCGTAAAAAAATTCGGACACAACAATCCATTTACAAAAGCATTTGAGGAAACTTCGTCAAGTCATCCAAATCGCCGTACCTATACTAACTATAACTATACTAACTAATCTAATATTAATACCTATAGTAACTATTCTAACTAACTATACTAACTAACAATACTAGACTAAACTAACTATACTAACTACACTATGTAATCTAATATTAATACCTACACCAACTAATCTAATATTACAACCTATACTAACTATAATAATTAAAA